ACCGCGGGATCTGATCGAGACCTCGCCGTCCCTAGGGGGCTGCGATCTGCGACGCTGTCGCCACTTTCGACGGCTACTGGTGGGTCATGCGGGGTGAGGCACCGCGGGGATCTAAGCGAGACCTCGCCGCCCCTGGGGGGCTGCGATCTGCGACGCTGTCGCCACTTTCGAGGGCTGCTGGTGGGTCCTGCGGAGTGAGGCGCCGCGGGGATCTGAGCGAGACCTCGCCGTCCCTGGGCGGCTGCGATCTGCGACGCTGGCGCCACTTTCGAGGGCTGCTGGTGGGTGCTGCGGAGTGAGGCGCCGCGGGGATTTGAGCGAGACCTCGTCGTCCCTGGGGGGCTGCGATCTGCGACGCTGTCGCCACTTTCGGGTGCTGCTGGTGGGTCCTGCGGAGTGAGGCACCGCGGGGATCTGAGCGAGACCTCGCCGTCCTTGGGGTGCTGCGATCTGCGACGCTGTCGCCACTTTCGGGTGCTGCTGGTGGGTCCTGCGGAGTGAGGCACCGCGGGGATCTGAGCGAGACCTCGCCGTCCCTGGGGAGCTGCGATCCGCGACGTTGTATCCACTTTCGAGGGCTACTGGTGGGTCATGCGGGGTGAGGCACCGCGGGGATCTAAGCGAGACCTCGCCGCCCCTGGGGGGCTGCGATCTGCGACGCTGTCGCCACTTTCGAGGGCTGCTGGTGGGTGCTGCGGAGTGAGGCGCCGCGGGGATCTGAGCGAGACCTCGCCGTCCCTGGGCGGCTGCGATCTGCGACGCTGTCGCCACTTTCGAGGGCTGCTGGTGGGTGCTGCGGAGTGAGGCGCCGCGGGGATTTGAGCGAGACCTCGTCGTCCCTGGGGGGCTGCGATCTGCGACGCTGTCGCCACTTTCGACGGCTGCTGGTGGGTCCTGCGGAGTGAGGCACCGCGGGGATCTGAGCGAGACCTCGCCGTCCCTGGGTGCTGCGATCTGCGACGCTGTCGCCACTTTCGAGGGCTGCTGGTGGGTCCTGCGGAGTGAGGCACCGCGGAGATCTGAGCGAGACCTCGCCGTCCCTGGGGGGCTGCGATCTGCGACGTTGTCGCCACTTTCGAGGGCTGCTTGTGGGTCCTGCGGAGTGAGGCACCGCGGGGATTTGAGCGAGACCTCGCCGTCCCTGGGGTGCTGCGATCTGCGACACTGGCACCACCTTCGAGGGCTGCTGGTGGGTCCTGCGGAGTGAGGCACCGCGGGGATCTGAGCGAGACCTCGCCGTCCCTGGGGGGCTGCGATCTGCGACGCTGTCGCCACTTTCGGGTGCTGCTGGTGGGTCCTGCGGAGTGAGGCACCGCGGGGATCTGAGCGAGACCTCGCCGTCCCTGGGGGGCTGCGATCTGCGACGCTGTCGGAGGGCTGCCTTGAGGCTTTCGCTGGGGGGCTGCGATCTGCGACGCTGTCGCCACTGCTGGTGGGTCCTGCGGAGTGAGGCACCGCGGGGATCTGAGCGAGACCTCGCCGTCCTTGGGGGGCTGCGATCTGCGACGCTGTCGCCACTTTCGAGGGCTGCTGGTGGGTCCTGCGGAGTGAGGCACCGCGGGGATATGAGCGAGACCTCGCCGTCCTTGGGGGGCTGCGATCGGCGACGCTGTCGCCACTTTCGGGTGCTGCTGGTGGGTCGTGCGGAGTGAGGCACCGCGGGGATCTGAGCGAGACCTCGCCGTCCTTGGGGTGCTGCGATCTGCGACACTGGCGCCACTTTCGAGGGCTACTGGTGGGTTCAGCGGAGTGAGGCACCGCGGGGATCTGAGCGAGACCTCGCCGTCCCTGGGGGCCTGCGATCCGCGACGTTGTATCCACTTTCGAGGGCTGCTGGTGGGTCCTGCGGAGTGAGGCACCGCGGGGATCTGAGCGAGACCTCGCCGTCTCTGGGGGGGCTGCGATCTGCGACGCTGTCGCCACTTTCGAGGGCTGCTAGTGGGTGCTGCGGAGTGAGGCACCGCGAGGATCTGAACGAGACCTCGCCGTCCCTGGGGGACTCTGGAGAGCTTCTGTGGGATACGTTCGGCGCAACGGGCGCATGGCACAGCTAACGGGGGTGATTTATGAAGCAGATCATCTGCCGGGCGATGGCCATAACGTTGCGCCTACACGTATCCCGCGGGGGCTCTCAAGAGCTGCTGTGGGATACGTTGGGTGCAACGGGCGCATGGCACAGCCAACGGGGGTGATTTGTTATTACGTAGTTTTAGATTTTGATCGGGGGCCCGCGAGCCTTCCCATTGCTGTTCGCAAAATCACATGCGTCCATGTTACGTCATCGCCCCCGCTGTAGCAATCCTGATGTACTTATGCCCCGCATTGCGCAAGGGTTGGGTACGTCGCCCGGGTAATGTTTCTGCTCGCCGGGATCCCTTCATAATATGTTTGTCTCGTTGCATCGCTATCTCGTTTTCTCTCTCTTTCTCTCTCTGTTTCTGTCTCTCTCTCTCTCTCTGTCTATCTCCTGCGCCAGGCCAACGCATGTCCATGCGATACCAATCCATTGCCAACCAATGCCAATGCCCATGCAATGTGAATGCGGGAATGCTTTCGCCCGGTGGATTTCAATCATAATCTTTTGTGGATGGTGTCATTACGAATCCGTCTTCTGAGGAGTTCAATCGGAATTCTTGTGTGGAGGGTTTCGGTAGGGAACTTCCTTTGGAGGGTTTCACTAGGAATTCTTCTTGCGGGGGGGTTACTGGGAGTCCGTCTGCGGAGGGAGCTATTAGGACTCGCCAGCGCAATGCCAACGCAATGTTGAAGCAGAGCCATCGTAATGCCACACCAATGCGAAGGCGATCCCAATCCAATGCCAATGCAATGCCAATGGGGAGGAGCCTTTGTGGTAGATGTTTAAAAGAATTATTTTTCTGGAGGGTTTCAATAGGAATAGTTGTGCGAAGAGAGGCACAAGGACTCGCCAGCGCAATGCCGAACCAGTGCCAACTCCATGCCAAACCAACGCCAAGGCGATCCAAACTTCATGCCAATGCAACGCCAATGGGGTGGATTGGTTGTTGTAGCGTTCAATAGCAATCCTTCTAAGAACCCTTTTCTGTGGATGATACCATCCACAAAGGAATCCGTCTAAGGACCCTTCTTCGGAGGATTTCACTAGGAAGCCTTTTGTGGAGGGATTCGCATGGCACCCTTCTGTGGAGGATTGCAATGTGTATCCTTATTGTTGGGGGTCCGTAGGCATCATTCTTGTGGACGTACTCAATCGGAATCCTTCAGTGGAGCGTTTGGTTGGGACTCGCCAGCGCAATGCCATCGCAATGCAAATGCACTGCTAACGCACTGCCATCGCATTGCCAACGCAATGCCAATGCGATGCCAAACCGTTACCAAACCAATGCGAATGCAATACCGATGGCATGATTCCAGTCTTTCAACAGATTCCAACAAACATCCTTATGTGGATGAATTGGTTACGGACCCTTCTTCGGAGGATGTCGATCGGAATCTTCTTGTGGAGGGTTTCGGCAGGAATCCTTCTGTGGAGGGTTTTTACCATGAGCCCTTCATATGGGGGACCCTTCGTGCGGAAGGTTTTCGTCGGAATCCTTCTGTGGTGGGAGCCATCAGAAGTCGCTCGCGCAATTCCAAAGCAGCGCCACCGCAATGCCAATCCAATGCCATGGCAATCCCAATCCAGTGCCAATGAAATGCCTGGGGGGAATCGCGTGTGGTCGGTTTCAATAACATTCCTTCGATTGAGTTTTTCGAATGGAATCCTGTTCTGAGGGGGTTCAACATGAACCCTTCTTGTGGAATGTGTCAGTATGAATCCTTCTTGTGTGGGGTTCAATAGGAATCATCCTGCGAAGGGGGGCATTGGAACTCGCCAGCGCAATGCCAAAGCCGTGCCAACGCAATGACAAACTAATGCCAAGGCGATCCTCCCAACCCAATGTCAATGCAATGCCAATGGGAAAAAGCCTGTGTGATAGATTTCCGTAGGAATCCTTATGTCGAGGGCTTCGTATGGAATCCTTATGTGAAGGATTTCAGTATGAACCTTTTTCGTGGAGGGTTTCAATCTGAGTCCTTCTGGTAGAGGGTTTCAAGCTGAGTCCTTGTGTGGAGGTATCCATTAGGACCCGCCAACGCAATGCTTGCGACATGCAAGCGCAATGCCAACGCACTGCCAAACGTCATGTCAACGCAATGCCAATGCGATACCAAACCATGGCCAAACCAATGCCAATGCAATGCCAACTGGGGTATTTCTTCCGAAGCATCTCAATTGCCAAGAGCTTGATTCTAGGGGAAGGAGAAGGAGGAGGAGGAGGAGGAGGAGGAGGAGAAAGGAAGGAGGGAGCGGAGCAGCGCAGAGGAGGAGGAGGAGGAGGAGGAGGAGGAGGAGGAGGAGGAGGAGGAGGAGGGAGGAGGAGCCCCCCCCCAGGGGTGGGGTGGGCCGCAGGAGAAGCAAAAAGCTAGATTCTGGGGCAAGGAGGGGGGAGGAGGAGGAGGAGGAGAGGAGGAGGAGGAGGAGGAGGAGGAGGAGGAGGAGGAGGAGGAGGAGGAGGAGGAGGAGGAGGAGGGAGCGGAGCAGCGCGGAGGAGGAGGAGGAGGAGGAGGAGGAGGAGGAGGAGCCCCCCACCCCCAAAATAGATAAACAAAAAACGGGAGGCCGCGCCGCGTTTTGTTGTTTTTTTTGGGGGGGGGCAGGAGAAGCAAAACGCTAGATTCTGGGGTGAGGGAGGAGGAGGAGGAAGAGGAGAGACAAGGATGAAGAGGAGGAGTAGGAGAAGGGGAGGAAAGAGGAAGAGGAGGAGGAGAAGGAGGAGAAGGAAGATGAGGAATCATGCTCGAACATTTCACGAACAACTATACGAAAACACTCCGAAAGGCGTGCGACTCCACAATCCCCTGTTCTCGAGGATTTGCGGTATCGCGGTATCGGTGCCTTCTGCCCCCCCCATGAGGACGGGAGCCCCGACGTGGACGACGAGCGCGTGCGCCGCCAGTGCCTGGCCGTGCTCCAGTGGATGCAGGCCCGCGGCTTCGTGCAGGCGCTGGTGGCGCTGGAGCTCACGAGCGGCGAACATATCCCCAGACCTCCAGCGTACGATACAGCCGGCCCGAGGTATAAGATTGAGGTCGGTTCGGGGAGGATACCCTCATGCTCTTCGTGTTCGTTGGATGTTCTTGTGCATTATGTGGGAGGGTACCCTCGAATGTTCTTCAGTTTTGCCGGTAGAGGGTCTCATGGTGTTGAAGGATGTTCTTCTGTCCGAGGTCCGGCCGTACATGGACAAATTGTTGCACCACCCAGCGCCCACGAAATCGGAAGTCGTTATGTGATCGATGTTTTTTGTTCCCCCCAAATCTAATTTGTGGAGTCCAAAACCTGGATAGCGGGGAGTCCAAAGCGCGTCCAAACGCTTCTGGGAGCCGCCTGCAAGGACGCTGGAAAGGATGCCTGGGGAGCTTGCAAGCTCGAGAAAGGAAACTTCGCAGGAGCTTCGAAGGAGCTTCGAAGGAGCTGTGGAAAGCCTGCGGGCACGCGTATTGGGAACGAGTGGGAGAACGCTTCTCGGGACACGCTGCCGGTTCGAGCAGGTCGCTGCGGGGATCCTTGACTGGCGCGGGAAAGAGCTGCCAGGCCACCCTGTGCTGCTGGCCTTTCTAGTCTGCAGCCTTTTCTCAGAGATCTATCCGGGAAAACCGCATAAAGGTGCAGTCCAAAGCGCGTGAAACGCCTCTGGGAGACGCATGCGAGGACGCTTGAAAGGATGCCTGGGGAGCTTGCGAGTTCGAGACAGGTGCTTCGCAGGAACTCCCGAGGAGCTTCGAAGGAGCTGCGGAAAGGCTTCTGGCACGCATATTGGGAACGAGTAGGAGAACGCTTGCCGGAACACGCTGCCGGTTCAAGCAACTCGTTGCGGGGATGCTTGCCCGGTGCCGCATAGATCTTCCGGGCCACTGCGCTGCCGGCTTCCAATTTTAAGCCCTTTTAGCCTTCTACGAGCTATCCGGGAATATTGGCTTCGGTCCGAGATCGTCGAAGCAGCTCGGTGGTGCAACCTTCTGCCAATCGCCTGGGGGTTCTGGCAGCTTTTCCTCGCCTACCCCCCAAATTGGATGGGGGGTAGGGGGGGAGGAGTGTTCAAGCACATCTGACGCCCCACCTAAAGTGATGCAACATTTTGCCGATGTGCGGCCTTGAAAAAATCAAGAAAGTGTTTTTTCTTTCTTTTCGGCATCGGGGGTCCTCGCCGGGCCCCGGGACCGTCGAATAATGATCCGCGGCGAAAAACCAGTCCCCGCGGAAAGTGGTCCAGAGCTCAGGGGGTCCCACATGGATAAAACGAGACATCTGAGTTCTGGTTCCGTATCTGCGCCCTCGTTGTTTGGCTTCCGTTGCGCGATCCCGTGGATACGCGGTCGCACGGGCCCGTTTTGTGCGGAGCATGCGAAAAAACGCCCCGCATCTGCGGAGTCGCGGCCCATGGCCCATGTCCCGCGAGGCTGTGGATACGGACGTGCGGGCGTTGCGTAATGGGGGGTCGGTCCCTTGAGGGGTGGAGTAAAGTGCACCCCCAGTGCCTTGATGGCGCCCTAGGTAGTGGGGCCCCCTGGGGCCCAGGAGGGGCACGACAGGCGCATGGCTTTCTCCTCCCCTCCATGGATCGCCCCCCCCCACGACGCAACGCCCGAGACAAGTGCGTCGCCCCACGAGGAGCAAGAGGCTGGCCTCAGCTACAGCGACGGGGACCTCCCGGTCGCCGCGGTGCTGGAGGCCAGCCTCGACATGTTCGGCAGCTACCACCGCGGTGGCGACGGAGCCGACAGACCCGCGGGCTGCGAGGCGGAGGGCGCGAAAACCAATATGCAAGAGCCCAGAGGCAATAATCGCATTATGACGAAGAAGAAGAAGAATCCGAAGAGAACGCAGCATGATAATCTTCACGTAATAATAACAATAACCCCAATAATTAAGCAACAGGCGGATGACGAACTGCAGAGGCTGGAGGCGGGCGTCTGCTGTACCGGCCCCGCCGGGGGCATGCTGGAGTCCCTAGGGGCGAACGTGACGGCCGCGGCCTGGGTGGCCGAAGGTCAGATGAGGCAAAGTTGCAAATACCGCCGTTTTCGCCATTTTGGGCCTCACCCTCGTCGCCTCGGCTGGATTCGCCTCGAAGTTCTGGTCAGAATGCACCCTGGGTGAGGTCCTGGGAGCAGCGGCATCGTTATCATTCTGGTTTCCCCCAAAAGGGGGCGGGGAGCTGCTGGCGGTGGCCACCACGGCGGACCGACGCCTGCGGCTGCTGGACTCCGAGGGGCAAGTGCTCGCGTCCTTGGAGGGCTTGTCGTCACCTGTCCTGAGCCTCGACACGGCCCCAGGCGCCCCAGGGGGTGGCCACGACGTGCTGCTGGGCGGCATGGGAGGCGAGGTGTGCGTGCTGCACTTACACAGGCGCCTCTCGGATGGGTCGGAGGGAGGGTGGGTGCTCGAGCAGCGCCAGCGCTTCTGCGACCACACCAAGCACGTGAACGGGGTCCGTCTCGCGCCCGCCGAGCAGGCCGGTCAGAGCTGCACTCGCTTCCTCACGGTCTCCAAAGACCATCAGGCCCGCTTGTACTCGCGCGGGCCTGGGGGCGAGTTCTCTAGCGCTGGCGACGCGCGCTTCGCGGGGGAGGTGACCTGCTGCTGCTGGGCCGACAGCCAGACCTTCGCGCTCGCGGCCCGGGACGACCACTATCTGCACTACTGGGACGCGGGCAAGGACAAGCCATCTGAGCGGCTCAAGACCAACCTTAACGCCCTGGGCGACAGCGTGGTCTCCTTTGCGGTGCTGGCGTTGGCAATGTCGCCCGACGGTAAGCTGATTGCCGCGTGCACCGACAAATCCCGAGTCCTGGTACTCAGGGCCTTCACCAGCAAGCAGCTGCGGAATCTTTATGGGGCGGTTATCGACGAATACGACGTGCCGAGCGTGTGCTTTTCCCTGGACTCCGCCTTTTTGTATGCCAGCTCCTCCCTGTCGGCCCCTATCCGCAAGGCTCAGGAGCGCTATGGGGAGGGCGGCGATGCCCCCATGCTGGGAGAGGTGGTAGTATTCCAGTTGCGCACAGGAGAACCCGTGCTCAGGTTCGGGGGCAAACGACAGACACTGCACCCCGCCCCGTTGCAAGAAGGAGGGCCTGGAGGGGGAGAGGGGAATGAGCAAATCGGGAGCGGGGGCTGGAGGAGGGGATGGTTGGGTAGCCTGGGGGGTCTCAGGTCCCAGACCTCCTGTCTGTTGGTTTTGTACCTCCTTTTTGCGAAATTCTACATGTTTAACATGGACGCTAATGGCTCTCAGTTGACATGATTCGACCCTGGCTCCAGGTGGGCACGCCTGTTCTGCTCCCCACAGGTTGCCGTGCCATTCCAAGGCAGTTCGGTGCATGAGTCGGCACCCGCTGGAGGAGGCGCTGGTCACGGGCTCCTTCGACAGGACCGTGCGCTTCTGGTCCTGACGGCCTCCCCGGGCGTGCGGATGTTCTGAGGAAGGGCGTGCCGAGCAGAGGTGGGCCAGTTGAGTCCACGGCGGCCCTCCTCATCCTCCTCGTCCTCCTCCTCGTCCTCCTCCTCGTCCTCCTCGTCCTCGTCCTCGTCCTCCTCCTCGTCCCCCTCCTCATCCTCCTCGTCCTCCTCCTCGTCGTAGTGCCAGGCACGGGGCGGTCACGTGTGACTGCTCCGTCTTTCGAGCGCGCCTGGAGCCCCGTTGGAGCGCGGCGTCCGCCCGCTAGTGCCGTATCCTCCTCCGCCTCATCTTGACCCACCTTCACCCCCCTCCTCCTCCTCCTCCTCTTCCTTCTCCTCCGCCTCCTCCCCCTCCTCCTCCTCCTCCTCCTCCTCCTCCTCCTCCTCCTCCTCCTCCTCCTCTTCTTTCTTCTCCTCTTCTTTCTTCTCCTCCGCCTCCTCCCCCTCCTCCTCGACCGCAGCCATTTTTGGCTCAAGATGATTTCTGCCCGTGGCAGGGCACGGGCACCACGGATATGCGCGGCCAGATCCAGGGGCCATACTGTGAGCTCTTGTCGGGGCGAGGGGTCCCAGCGGGCGGCACGAGACACCTCCTTACGTGTTCCTCCCCCTTCTATCCACCTCCGCAGTCTCCCTTCTTCTCGCCCGCTGCCTCCATCCTCCTACCTCTTCCATCATGATACTTCCTCCTACTTCCTTCTCCTGCTCCCCCATCCCTCCTCCTCCTCATCCTCATCCTTCCCCTCCACATCCGCATGCTCCTTCCTTCTCCAACGCCTCCATTATCCCTCCTCTTTCTGTCGCCTGTATCCTCCTCCTACTTCCCCCTCCTTCTCTTCCTCTTTCCTGCCCACTTTCGCATCATCCATCCTCCTACCTCTGCCTCCTCCTTCCCCCCTCCTCCTCCATCCCTCTTCCTTATGCATAACTTTCCCCTGTCGCACCCCGAGACGGGTTGTTAGGGCGGGCCGGGCGTTTCGCCTGAGAACTCGTCACCGCTAATGAAGCAGAATATTGAAATTTACAAAAGTTTGACGGAAGGAGGAGGAGGAGCGGTTTTCAAAATGTGGTTCTCACTTGAGCGCCGCGCACATTCGTTTTAAAAGTTTGCAACAGGTTCAAGGATAGAGGGCGGGCGGTTTTCAAAATGTGGCTTTCGCCTGAGCACCGCGCATTTTGCAAGTGTTTCACGGATGGAGGGCGGTTCATTTTCAAAATGTAGTTCTCGCTTTAGCGCCGCGCACTTGCGTTCTTACAGCTGACATCAGTGTCAAGGATTATGATGGTTGATGCCCTAGTATGTGTGTTTTGGCACGATGTATGGGTTGTCATGTCGCGACGGTCACGTTGATTCGCGGTGCTGACGTCCCAGAAGTGGTATTCTGGCACGATTTAGGATCGCCAGTTCGCAGCAGTAACGTTGGCTTTGGCATGGTAGAAGATTTTCAGACGGTTGTCTTCCAACGGGGCTCTTCCCGCAGGGAAAATAGAGCCTTCTAGGAGCCTGCGACGAGGAAACTTGGAGGGTTGATTGCAATATCGTTGATGAGTCTCGGGTACGTTCGAGGAGGAGGAGGCGGAAGGCCGAAAGCGGCTGAAACCGGGAGGTTATCCAAGGTTTAACTGCGGAGTCAAAGCGCCCCGACCCCGGGGCAAGCGCCAGCCCGCGGATGATTGAACTCCGGAGTTAAGTCGCCGCGAAGCTGGTGGACGCGCCAGCAAGGAAACGATTCAACTCCGGAGTTAAGTGATTCCCACGCTGGGCGCACCAGCACGGGGCCGACTTAGCTCAGGAGTTAAGTCGCTGCGGCGATGGGTTCGGTGCTGCGACGACTGAGCGGAAAAGAATGGAGGAGGAGGAGGAGGAGGAGGAGGAGGAAGAGAGGAGGAACACTAGGGTACGTACTGGGGAAACCGCCGCAGCACCGAAGCAACATCCAGTAGATGCAATCAATGGTAATACGAACAGTATAACTGCCTTCAGCATGCACGATCTAGATCGAAAATAGCAGTTGGTGGCGTCGGTGATGAAGGGTACACATTGATGTTCGGCCTCTTGGGGGCCTCTTGGGGGACTTCCGGCGGTCTGCGGCGTCTGCGCACGCGTGCTCCGCAGCAGCCCCCTATCCGCATTGCCCCGCGCAGCGCAGTATATGAAGAGAGGGCCGCGCCCTGCGCTACGCGTGACTGCAGAGGGTTGTGCCCTTCACCAGGCTAATCGTTTGCTTATCTTCTGGCCTTCGGCTCATACCGCCACCGTGCCTGGGTTGTGGTTCAGACGCTTCTGAGATACGTGTTTGGGGTCTCGTGGTACGCTTGCCGGGCGCCTCTTGGAGCTACTTGTGAAGCCTCTTGGGGCCTCTTGGGGACTGTTTGATGGCCTCTTGGGGCCTCTTTTAGGCCTCTTGGGGGCCTGCTTGCGGTCTGAGGGGTCACCTGGGGCGGAGGGCTTGGAATGTGAGGTGGAGTTCGAATGGGCCTGACCACAGTGTGAAAGCGAATTGAAGCAGAGGATGAGTGTGCCGAGAGCACCGATAATACAAGCACCGCGAGCATTATCTTTCCTGCTCCTTGTCCTCCTCCTCCGCATCCTCATCCTCATCATCATCATCATCATCATCATCATCATCATCATCATCATCATCATCATCATCATCATCATCATCATCATCATTATCCTACGTTCCTGCTCCTCCCCCTCCGTGTCATGCCACATACCCCACCGCCGTTCCCTGGATCGTTTCGCACGTCGTGAGTTTGCCCTGCCCACTCTCACTTCCCCACCGGGCGCGCCGCCGACACCCCTTGGCCCAATCGAGAAACAGAGCTGTGTAAGCAGAAACCTTCGGACCTCCGCGCGGATTCCTGGGATCTGCGCGGGGCCCCCCGCGCCGCCCCCGGCGCGATGCGCGCGACAGGGAGGGTGTTTCAGGGTCCGTCGCGAAATCCGCGCGGACCTCACATGATCTCGCCATCGCTCGGCTGCCCATTCCACGTGCATTCTTGGGCATCTTGCGTGTGTAGTGCTTTGCCAGATGACACAAACAAAGGATCCCCGATGGCCTTCGCTGAGACAACACGCGCACGTCCGAGCGATGCCAAGGAATGTGTTTCTGCCAGACCTTCTGTTGTTCCTCGACCCGAGAGTGTTCGGCATGGTGCAACAAGGAGGTTGCATTTGAGACGCGCTGCATTCCTCATATGTAGTGCTACCCGTGTTCTGTTGCTCCCTGCTTTGAAAGGCGTCCAGGGGGCATGGTGTGCTCGGTATGGTGCAACAAAGAGGTTGCATTTGAGACGCGTCTTTTTCCTCATGTGTGGTGTCATTTGCTCTGGGGGAGAAAAAAACAAATTCTGTTGTTCCTCGACCCGAGCAGGATGCGCAGGCTCCCCTGGCCTGCGCGACCTGGCTCTGGCACCGCTGGGGTCGCCAACATTTTCGCCATCGCTCGGACGTCCGTTCCCTTGTGCACGCTTCGGTTTCATGCGTGTAATGTTTCGCAAAATGATCCAAGATGGTCCAAGACGTTCCTCGCCCCGTGATATGAATAAGCTACAATGACCATGACGTCTAGATGTTCCTCTAACTTCTAACTTGACCTCTGTCTAGGACGAGGCTACGAGGCGACCTTGGACTTCGAGCAGCCATGAGGAACGACAGAGCCCCTCGCCCCCCTAGAACGCGCAAGTTCGAGAGATGCCATGGACTCGAAGATTGACAGAACACCCGAAGCAACAGGCCTTTCTAGTGGAAGTTGCCGGTGGCACTCCACGTGCGCACGGCACCGCATGCCGAGCAGACCCCAGCAGGGTATCCAACCGACGCCCAAGAACCACCGAAAATATCTAGCGAACTGCACGTCGATTACAGTCGGGGCTCTGAATAAGGAACCCTTTTCGTTGGGGAGGGGCTCCGTGTTTCTTCATTGTTTCACATGTTGCCCCCTTTTTATCCTTGGATTTTCGACGGGAAGTCGAAGTTGAACTTCTGGAGAAAAGGGGCCTCGTTCCTTATTTCGGGTTCCTTAGGTCAACGCCCCGACGGTAGCGAAACCGACAAGCGATTGCACCGGCACGTGCCAAAGTCGGTGGAACCTGTGCAGACTTCCTCGGCCGACCTGTCTGGGTGGGCATTCTCTCCATGCCCGACCGACACTGAGAGTGGCCTCCCAAACGGGATCAACATCGAAGCGGTCGGAGAATTGTGCCGCATCGTCGATGCCTCACCATTGCATCGGCGATGCATCGGCGATGCGTTGTCGACATCGGCGATGCATCGGCGACGTAGGCGCGGAGAAGATTGGGCTACACAGCAGGCCGCATCGCCTCTGCATCGGCGAGGCGGGATGATCCTTCGACCCCATTTGCTCGGATCGGACCCCATGATGGATGCCTTGAGCTGACCTTGCCTAGAGTTGCATGAGTTATTTTCTACGGGAGCCTATATGAGCCAAGATGTTGGCGGATGTTGTTGGCGGATGAGTTTTTTCAATGGAAGCCGATCTTAGTCATAGCAAATAGGAAACCGCACGAAAAAACTTATAGGAAACTCCATCGGGATCCCCGCATGGATCCCCATGGGACCCCCTGTAGGAATCCTAATAGGAACCCACATAGAAAACTCGATCGGAACGCCCATAGGAAAACCCATGGGCGACGAGGACATACCAAAGAAACAGCGACAAGCAGCCATGAAGGCATTGGATGAGCAGCCACGGAGGTGCTAGATGAGCAGCCCTGAGGGCGCTGGATGAGCAGCCACGAGGGTGCTAGATGAACAGCCGCGGCGGCGCTACTGACATTTCTTGTGAAGAGGAACCCGTATGGGCGACGAGGTGACGCCACAGAACCCGCGACACGCAGCCATGAAGGTGCTAGATGAGCAGCCACGAAGGCGACAGTGGGCGTTAAAAGGCACGGCAGGGGGCGCGAGGGGGACACGCGGGAACAGCAGGGGACACGAGGGGGACACGAGGGGAAGAGCAGGGGACACGAGAGGGACACGAGGGGACAGGAGGGGACGCGAGGGGGGGCACGAGGGGACAGCAGGGGACACGAGAGGGACACGAGCAGGCACCACGGGGCGCGAGGGGCGCAGCAGGGGGCACGACAAAGGGAAGGGGACAGCAGTGTCCTTCTGGGGCCTCCCAGCGGGAAGCCCCCAAGCCCAGAAGCCCAAGAAGGCCTGGGCCTAAGATCAGAGGAGGAAAAGATACCCATACCTCTACCCTTCGGCCGTTCTCCCCTTTTTAGGCCTACTGGGAGACTCTCGTCGCCACCGCTGGATTCGCCTCGAAGTCCTGGTCAGAACTCACCCTGGGAGAGGTCCGGGGAGTAGCGGTATGGGTACCTGTGGGCGTCCTCATAAGAGCTCGATGCGGAAACCCTGAGTCCACAAAGATCGGCATGCTGTTGGGCAGCCTGGCTTGATTCCGCGGGCTTCCGCAAACCTTCCGCTGGTGGAGCCGCGCCCGTTTCACTTCCGCCGCCTCTCGCTGGCCTTCCACCGAGTCCATCGAAGCGAATTCCCTCTTTCCTCTCCCTTTTTCATCCCTTTGCCTTCCGTTTCCCTCCCTGTTCCTTCCGTGCACCTCCTATGTCCTTCCGCGCCCTTCCCTTTTCCTTCCGTTTCCCTTCTGTTTCCTTCCGTTTCCTTCCCTTTTCGTTCCTTTTCGTTCCTTTGCCCTCCCTTTTTTTCTTTGTTCGTTCCGTGTCCCTCTTTTTTCCATTGCCCTGTTTTGTTGTTCCGTTGCCCTCCCTCTTCCTCTCGTTTCTTTCCCTTTTCGTTTCATGTCGTTCTTTTTGCCCATCCGTTGTCCTACTTGTTCCTTCCGTTGCCCTCCCTCCTCCTCCTCCTCCTCGCGTTTGCCGCCCATGTATTAATGTTTCCTTCCCTTTTCCTTCCGTGTTCTTTTCCCTCTCGTTTCCTTCGATATCCCTCCATGATCCTTCCGTGTCCTTTTCCCTCTTGTTTCCTTCTGTGTCCTTGTCCCTCTTGTTTCCGTCACTACTAATTCCTTTTCCTTCCGTGTCTTTTTTCTCTCTCTCTTTTCTTTCCGTGTCCTTTTCCATATGTTCCTTCCGCTTCCCTCCCGGTTCTTTACGTGTCTTTTCTTGTTCGTTTCCTTCCGTTTCTTACCTTTTTCCTTCCGTTTCTCTATTTTTCTTTCCGTGTTCTTTTCTCTATCGTTATTTATCAGTTTCCTTTCGTTCCCCCTCTCGCTTATCTCCGTTTTCCCTTCCGTTGTCCCATCCGTTTCCTTCCCATTTCTTTCCGCTGTGTTTCCTTTTCTGTCTCGTTTCCTCCCGTTCACTTCCCGTTTACCTCTCGTTTCTTTCGGCTTCCCTCCCGTTTACCTCTCGTTTCCTTCCGGTTCAATCCTTAAGCCGCCCTTGCTCCTCACCTGGCGGGGAAAAGGAAGCAAACGAAGAGGGAGGGAAACGGAAGGAAACGAGACAGAGAAGGACACGAAAGGCACGGGGAAAGAAACGGGAGGAAACGGGAGGGAAGCGGGAGGAAAACGAGAGGAAAAAGGTAGTGGAGCGGAAAGAAACGAGAGGGAAACGGGAGGAAAACGAAAGGGAAAAGGTAGGGGAGCGGAAGGAAACGAGAAGGAAACGTGAGGGAAACGGGAGGAACACGAGAGGGAAAAAGGAGGGGAACTGAAGGAAAAGAAAAGGGAACGGAAAGAAACGATAGAAACGCGGACAAAAAACGGAAGGACTTAATTCCGGAGTTAAGTGATTCTGTGGGCGGGGGGAAGTACCAGCCGTAGACTCATTTAACTCCCGAGGTAAGTTAAGTCTATTCGAATTTGGTAGCACTGGTAGCAGTGGAAGACCTGGAAACGATTTAACTCCAGAGTTGAGTGATAATTGTCTTGCTTGTTTGAATGATTTTCCCAGGCCCCGCCCGCCCGCCCCCCATCCACCATCTTCGCGCACGCGTCTTTCAACGGCACCCTCACCCTCCTGCCTCCTTACGATCGGCGCTGGAACGATAGCGTGCAACGTCGATCTCCAGAAGGCACGCTAGCCCTGTGAGGCGATCCCCCCGCGAGTGCACGCGAGGGATAGCATTCACAGAAGGGGTGCTGGCGGGGGGGCCGCCTGACTCACAGTGAGAGCGTGCTTGTGGGAGATCGACGTTGCACGCTGTCTCTCCCACGCCAGCCGTGCCCAAGAACTGGGGCAGATCCGGAGCTAGGGCCATTCTTCCATTGTTTACCCCTTCCACCCATCGGGTGTTGCTAGAAGTGCCCCTGGCCCAAGGTGCCCCCAGGGGCTCCAGGGGCTCCCGAGGGCCCCCAGGGGCTCCAGGAGCACTTCTCACGAAGCCCAGAGGGCTCCAGGGGATTCAGAGTTGAGCGCAAATCCGGGGGTACCTTGGGCCAGGGGCACTTTTGGCAACCTCCGGACCTACCTTCCCCCTCCCCCCTCCTCCTCCTGCTCCTCCTCCTCCTCCTCCTCCTCCTCCTCCTCCTCCTCCTCCTCCAGCCGCCGCCACGGCTGAAGGTCGAGGGACACGCGGCCCTCCCACCCTGTTCCATCGCCCGCCAGGGGAGCAGCGCGCGATGCCCACGCGCCCGCGGGGCTCAAGAGGTCCATGATGGAGGCTCTCCTCTTGCTTGCGGCCGTCGGCTTCTCGCCGCGGGCGGCCGCCTACATGTCGACAGGCGCTTGCCGCGCCCCTGGACGCACTCAGGAGCGAGAGCCTCAACCTGCTCAGCACACCAGGCTCTACGTGTACAACCCTCTCTACCTGACGGGCAGCACCCGCGCGCAGGAGATCACCTGCGAGCACTACATGGGCGTGACCCTCTTCCCTGGGACGAGCCGCCGCCCGACACTGGACGGCCGCCACAGCCTCTCTCAGCACGACTACCACTGGGAGCTCTCCTTCGGCTGGACCAACAAGAGTTGCGGGGGGAGCATCTTCCTACATCAGCGGTTTCCGCAGGCACACCTACGTGGGATCTACCCTCCGCCCGCGGCGCTCTCGGGCCGCTGCGGCGCGACAGTGCCGCTCCTCGGACGTGCTCCTCACGGTTCGGCACCTTTCCGTGCCATCCGAGTCCTGCTCCAGCCGCAACTCATACCGCCAGGTGACTCAGGCTATGATCTCGTGGGCACGCACCACGCTGGAGTCTGTGGGCAGTCGACGCGCGCCCTTCAGCGGGGCGGACCTCAGCTCGGCGACTCCGTGGACGAGACGTTTCTCGGCTCCCCGTCACTGCTCGAGCCCGACTTGTGGAGCGAGGTCGACAGCGCCGTGGGCCCCTTCCTGGGGCTGGAGGGCCTTTCTGGACGTCTTTGGCAACGGTTCCTCTCGGACCACGACGCCTTCTTTGTCAGCGGGGACACCTTCATCGGGGCGCACGGACGGTCACGCAGGATCGACTTCCTCCACGCCCCGTGCAAGTGCAAGGCCCCCATGGGAGCAGGGCGCCGCCTCAACACATTGTACGATCGAGGCCACCGCTCTGTCTACGCGGGCGACATCTTCGAGGCCCACGCGCAGCACACCTGGGACTACGACATGATCATGCTTCGTCTGGAGGGCGCCCCGAAGCCGCGCGACCTGCAGCAGGTCGCAGCTCGGGAAGCGGGCAATATGTACGCAGAGGCGGCGCAGGTCCCCGAGGCGAAGCCCCAACTCACCACATTTGTACATCGCTCACGCCGAGTTCAAGTACCCGTCGGCCTCCGTGGAGCAGGAGGCCCCGCAGGGGCACGTGCTCCCGCGTACCTTCTACCAGCAGTTCGTTTGCATGGGGACGGGCTCGGAGCTCTGCTCCACCTCAGGCTGCGCACGCGCCACAACGACCAGTACACCAGGATGCAGTTCGCTAGCGCGGACCAGATCACACTGAAGAGCGTCAACCCAGACGGCCCTCGGGAGACACGCCTCGACGTTCTGGGCGGCCGCCAGAAGATGGGGACGGCCCCTTCTGGGCCACCTGGAATCGATGGCCCAGAAACTGCTAGACAAGCACCGCCAGATCCACTACGGCCAGAAGGGCTGACATGGGTGGCGGATCCTACGGAAAGAGATGGGCGACCAGCACACTACGTGACGACGTGAGTCCCTCCAGCAGCTTCGCTGTAGCACCAGGCCCCTCTAGTCGCTCTCGCCGCCCCTGGTCTCTAGGGCGCGCCGTCGGCTCTTTTCTTCGGCCTGTTTTTTTTTTTTTTTCCTTCTCGGGGCCTCTGGGTGTCCAGGGGGCCTGCTCGGTGCTCTCCGCGCCGTCGAGCTCGGCCCCCAGGGGCCAGAGGGGTATCACCCCCCGCCCGCGGGCGTCTTCCTGTTTCCTGTCCTGCTCGGCTCTGATCAAAGGTGATCACAGCTGCACGGCGCGCCCACACGCCTGACCTCGTTCGGTCCGAGGAGATCGCACGACTGCTCAGAGGTGTCCCCGAGCGATCTCTCGGTTCGTGAGCTCGAGGGGTGAGTGTCTTCAGACTCACAGCGCAATGCCGAGCCCATCCCATCCATCCATCCATCCATCCATCCATCCATCCATCCATCCTCCTCCTCCTCCCCCTCCTCCCCCTCCTCCCCCTCCTCCTTCCTCCTCCTCGTCCCTCCTCCTCCTCTCCTCCCTCCTCCTCCTCCTCCTCCCCCTCCTCCTCCTCCTCCCCCTCCCCCCCCTCCTCCGCCGCCCCCTCCTTTCCCCCCCCAGGCGCCCCCCCCGCGCCACGCCGCCGCCGCGCCCTCCCCGCGCCGCAGCGGGGGCTCCTCGGGGGAGACGCGGCGCGCGCGCTGCGCCGGGCCCCTGCCGTGGGGCAGCGGCGGCAGGCCGCCCGCCGTGCGCGGTGGGGGAGGGCGGCAGGGAGAGGGGGGCAGGGAGAGGGAGAGAGACAGAGAGGCAGAGGAAGAGAGAGGGCGAGAGAAAGAGAGAGCGAGAGGGATGACAGATGGACAGAGAGCGAGAGGGGAAGCCAGAATACATATATATATATACATATATATACACACATACATATATGTATCTAGGGAGGGAAAAGAGGAAAGCAACACAGAGATAAAGAGAGACAAAAACAGCGACCAACAAAACATACATATATATATATATATATATATATATATATA